TGTTCATAGCCTAAGTACTTATATGAATCTTCATTTAAGTACCGTAGATGGTTTTGTTCATTTATATTTTTATAACTTCTGGCTTACCCTTTTGTGCTACTAACTTTGCATATTTGTCCATCCCCAACTTCATTTTGATATCGTTGGCAAAATCATTCGTTATTTTAATCACCGAATGAACATGGTGATGAGGGGATAGCCCATGAATTTATTGCTTTTATGGTGTTTTTTGCCATTGAGCTCAGTTTTTAATATTTTTTGTACACGCCATTTTAATTTTCTCTCAAATTCCTTCTTAGATTTTTTTTGATTGATGACTAACTGTTGTTCATAGCCTAAGTACTTATATGAATCTTCATTTAAGTTCATTTGTCCATCCCCAATTTCATTTTGATATCGTTGGTAAAATCATTCGTTATTTTTAATAACCTATTAAGTTCATTTTTTTATTTTGAATAGAGTTTTAAATCATCCATATAAAATAAATGGCTTACATTATAACTGTTATCTCCATTATGAATATTATACCCCAAGCCAGATTGTTGGAGCATTCTAGACAGAGGGTTCAAGCTCAATATAAACCACAGCGGTCTCAGCGAGTCGCACTGGAAAATACCACTGCTTATTTTTATATCTCTAGTTAGAAGTGACTTATTCCCAAAGTTAATATACACAACTTTGTTTTCCAATTACTCATTGAGTTTTGTAGAAATTTGATTATATTTTTGTCTATTTTGTATAGCTTTAACACCTCCAACAACCAGGAATGTGGCACGCTGTCAAAAGCCTTTTCATAGTCTATCCAGGCTACGGCAATATTTCGATTTCGTTGTTTCGCATCCCGTGTAATTATTGTGTCGATTACCAGCGAAAATACCATTACTAACGAAAAAGAAGCCCAAGTTCCTTGTACTAAATCGGTTCTATTTCCGATTTATTACAAGGAACTTGGGCTTCTTTTTCGTTAGTATATTCTGTGGGGCTCATTAACGATGGTGGGAGCCTCCCGGGATTTACCACTGAAGGTATAACTTGTATGATACCCAAAGATGTAGATACCAAAAACGTTAAGAAATACAGGCCCATAACTTGTATGCCTACAATATATAAAATAATAACATCGATTATAGCAGAAAAAAATAGCGAACATCTAAACAATAACAATATCTTAACCGAAGAACAAAAAGGAAGTCGCAAACGTACGCAAGGATGTAAAGAACAGCTGGTAATCGACACAATAATTACACGGGATGCGAAACAACGAAATCGAAATATTGCCGTAGCCTGGATAGACTATGAAAAGGCTTTTGACAGCGTGCCACATTCCTGGTTGTTGGAGGTGTTAAAGCTATACAAAATAGACAAAAATATAATCAATTTCTACAAAACTCAATGAGTAATTGGAAAACAAAGTTGTGTATATTAACTTTGGGAATAAGTCACTTCTAACTAGAGATATAAAAATAAGCAGTGGTATTTTCCAGTGCGACTCGCTGAGACCGCTGTGGTTTATATTGAGCTTGAACCCTCTGTCTAGAATGCTCCAACAATCTGGCTTGGGGTATAATATTCATAATGGAGATAACAGTTATAATGTAAGCCATTTATTTTATATGGATGATTTAAAACTCTATTCAAAATAAAAAAATGAACTTAATAGGTTATTAGAAATAACGAATGATTTTACCAACGATATCAAAATGAAATTGGGGATGGACAAATGAACTTAAATGAAGATTCATATAAGTACTTAGGCTATGAACAACAGTTAGTCATCAATCAAAAAAAATCTAAGAAGGAATTTGAGAGAAAATTAAAATGGCGTGTACAAAAAATATTAAAAACTGAGCTCAATGGCAAAAACACCATAAAAGCAATAAATTCATGGGCTATCCCCTCAATACCATGTTCATTCGGTGATTAAAAATAACGAATGATTTTACCAACGATATCAAAATGAAGTTGGGGATGGACAAATATGCAAAGTTAGTAGCACAAAAGGGTAAGCCAGAAGTTATGAAAATATAAATGAACAAAACCATCTACGGTACTTAAATGAAGATTCATATAAGTACTTAGGCTATGAATAACAGTTAGTCATCAATCAAAAAAAATCTAAGAAGGAATTTGAGAGAAAATTAAAATGGCGTGTACAAAAAATATTAAAAACTGAGCTCAATGGCAAAAACACCATAAAATCAATAAATTCATGGCTATCCCTCAATATCATGTTCATTCGGTGTTATAAAATGGTCCCCGACTGACCTAGATGCACTAGACAGAGGTATAAGAGTACAACTTACCAAACATAGAAAACATCACCCGAGAGCTTGTACCGAAAGACTCTATCTTGAACGCAAACAAGGGGGCAGAGGACTGTTAAACATTAAATTATTACATATGGCTCACAAGTTAATGGTCTTATAAAATATTTTGGAGAAACAAGGATCAACTCTAATTTCCACAAAACAGTGTCCGTTGTAGATAAATATAGTGCTCTCCAACTTAATAAGTACAACTACAAAAATATACCTACACGACATGAGAGAACTGAAATTTGGAAAGCGAAACCGTTGCACGGGAAATATCCTAACAGGCTTACAACTGCAAGTAAGAGATTATCATTACTAAATCTATGGATTATCAACAATTTGGCTGCGCAGTGGCGTCTTCTTTCCCGAGACGGAGGGTTTTATAACCGATACAGGATGGTGTAATTTCAACAAGGAATTACCAAAAATATATAGAAAAAAGAATTTTAATATTTCACTTACATGGCCCTGATGAGGCCGTTAATTTGACGACTTAATATTTTCGTTATCGTCAAATATTTCCACTAATAGTTATGAATATGGTCTCGCCCTACTGCTTTCCAGTTATGTGCTTTTCTCACATCGCTCTCAGCAATGACACTTTTGGCCATTTCGGGAATTACATCGGCATGTTCATTTTCCAACCGGAGCCACGCTGCCTCTGAGTTGTTTAGTTTGGTTTCTTTATATCCCGGCCTATTTATATATTAATATATTTTTTGTGCCTCGTTTGCTTCTCCTTTTCTTTCTCTTTTTTCAGGATCGCTAGTTCATCGTTGCTGATTCCTCCCGTATTGATGAAGCCGGAAGGCAGAAACACTGAGTGTCTACGGGTAGTCATGTTTTAGTCATGTATCATGACTAATCTTTCTGTGGACTTGCCCAATAAATTTCTTTCTTCGTTTTTTATAGTTTCCACGATAACTTCCTTTGTTTAATATATATATATATATATATATATATATATATATATATATATATATATATATATATATATATATATATATATATATATATATATATATATATATATATATTATATATATATATATATACCAAACTAAACACTTAACAATGTTAAACCACTTAGCAAAATATAGACATATAGACACCCAAAATCTCTTTCAAATCGGAATAACGGTTCTTAGAGTATCTGAAAAATGTGTTTATTTATTTAAAGTTTGATGCCCTCTAACGGACAAAAGAAGCACTGATAGAGACACAGATTATACAGATTACAAACTTTTTTTTTTCTTTATAGTTTTTCGTGGTTCCAATTTTCGGAATCGGGCACTAGTTAGGTTCTTAGGTTAGGTTACTATTTTGCGCACATAGCACGCCCACTTATGGCCTCTAAAATTGTGCACAGCGCCTGAACGGCCCAGTTATTAGAGAGATATCGGTAAACCGAATAGCGTCATGCAGTATTTACGCGTACCTTATTTTGACAGTTACGATATGCGCGAGTCAATTTTTAACGCAACGGCCGCTAATAACGTTACCGCCTGACGTAATTTGCGGATCAATTACACCAAGCGTTTTTTAATTAAATAAATATGGTCCAAAATATGGATTCCACCTCTTCGAATATTAAAGAAAATATAAAGAGGCTTAGGTTTACAGCAGATGACGACTTAGCCCTTCTAAGAGAATTTGTTGGCTATTATAGGTCAAAGTTTTAAACCCACTGGCAGACATTGAACAATAAAAGCACTGGAAATAAGCACTTTAGCCCTTCAGTTTTAAAATACCTAGTAAACAAAACAATTTCAAAGTTTTAAATTCAAAGTTAGGTTAAGTTTAAATAGCGGACGCGACGCGAACAGAATTCTTTTCGATCCGATAACTATAAATGGAGAGAGTTAATACCACCTCACGTAAAGGAAATAACACCTGTCGTTATTAACCTCCATGCACGCCATTCGGTTTACCTATATCTCTCTATTACGCTGTTTATTCTTATTTTACGCGAGTTATTTTTTCCCATAGGAAATTTTACTCGTTTGCTTATCATCATAAAAAACAATTTTCGTACCACGAATTAGGGATAAGATTTTTATCTGTATACATATAGTATACCTAATCTGTGATAGAGGTTTGTTGAGGTGAATTGCTCGGTAAATTCTGTCCAATGAACTTATTTTGATTCTAAAAATACGTAGTAGTTCTATGTCATACCTGGGTACGTCATACAATGGGACACCCTGTATAATAGAAAAAAAAATGTGAATGTTCAAATTACAATTATAATGAAAAAAGAGTGTCACTTTTTAAGTTTAGAGTAAGATAACTTAACACAACCTTATGTTCCAACCATAAAGAAAATAATAGTAAGTAAATGGATAAAGGGAATAAGAGTAAATAAAGTAAAATCTAGCTTAAACTAAAAGCAAAACAAACATAAATTATTTTCGATAATCACTGAATATGTATTTATCCGCTACATGTAGCATGAACATCCTTTACCTTACTTTCTTCTTACACATTCAATATGAGTATGCCATCTCTTTAATGACCCTATTCACTTTTCTTTACGTATATCGCGCACATGAGCAAGGAAAATCTTTACAGATCAGTACTTTTACGAAGTCGAAGGTTTAAGCACGGTGTAACACTCATTTATAATATTCCTACGTATATGTAAAATATAAAAAAATCTCTATGTAGTGATATAAATCATAAATATATTAGATGCGAACGCAAAACTTTGGCTATTATAGGTCATTATTATTTTCTTGATCAACGGCCGCGCCGGCTGCGGAGAACAGCGCCAGTTGCTTGTTTAACAACTGTTTTGTGAAAGTGACAGTTTTATGTTTTTTCTTTGGGGACAAAATTGCAAGTTATTGATAATTACTATTAAACGAGGTAATAGTACGGCTAGTTCATATCTGAGTGCTGCAGAAATAAGTGTTCCGGTGAAGTTATTTTTAAGATTTAGTCTTCGGTGTTAATTTCTACATTCAGTGCTAACCGAAAATTGGCAAGGAGAACAATTATAAACAATTTGGAATAAGGTGCAGTTAGATTTAGTTATTTTACTTATTTATTTCAGTCTATAACCTTGACGGCATAATTTTTCTTAATCAATTCTTCAATACTTCATTGATTCCACATACCAAATAAAATTTCTTATTATTTAAATTTGGAGTTGTACACGAAAGTAAAAGTTTATTACATGATAAATAGTGTTCGCTATTTTTTCTATCATTAATTATATTATTTAGTATAGTATTACCAGAAGAAAGTTTACTAAATGCTAACCTATAATATATTATATTATTATACAATACAAAATGTATTATTAAAATAAATTATAATAGTAATTTATAATTTTGAATATTCGAGATATTCTACTAACTAATACAAATAAATATTCTTCTACTTGGCATAATTATAATCTTATAATTAACATATTAATTTAATTTATATCTACTAACATACTTACAATATTATATTGTAAGGATATTTCGGAGACATTTTCATACTTTCGTATTAAAATGTTCTATATTTTCTTGCACTTTCGATTTAACTAGAGGTGATACCAATTTGCATATGTCAAATAGGTATTCAATTCAAATACCGGGTGCGCCTCAAAAGTGGCTCACCCCTATAACTTTTTTATTTTTTTAAATAAAAAATCGAGATTTGGTATGTTAGTATATGACATAAATTAGGATTGATCGACAAACTCAATTGTTTTTGGCCACTTTCTGTTTCACCGGAAATGACTACAACTTTTGATTTTTAAATGACACCCTCGGTATTTTTTTACTTTATTCGAAAATGACATTCTGAATAGAATGACATATCATATGTCAAGTTTTTACATTTTCGCTTAATAAAAAATCATATTTTAAATTTCAATGCGCGATGGTTATGTTAAAAACACTAATTTTTAATCAAGGAGCCTTGGAAAAATAGATTTGAGAGTCTAATGTTTTTAGTATCATGTCCTGACCGGTTAAAAGATACCCAAATCGCATTTTTAATTATATCTCAATTTTTTCAAATGGAACGAGCGTGGCTCATGAGCATATTTGGAAAAAGCATTTTTTACGAATAATTTGATATCACACACTTGGTATTTGAGTCAACTTTTCGTTAAGAACCGCATGTTATAATTTCAAATAAACCATAGTCGCAAATGTCAAAAGTTGACATATGATATGTCATTCTATTCAGAATGTCATTTTCTATCGAATAAAGTAACAAAATACCGAGGGTGCCATTTAAAAATCAAAAGTTGTAGTCATTTCCAGGAAGGAAACAGGAAGCAGGAAATGACCGAAAACAAATGAATACGTCAATGTATGTCATATACTAACATACCAAATCTGGTTTTTTAAACTAAAAACGTAAAAAAGTTATAGGGGTGAGTCACTTTTGAGACGCACCCGGTATACATATGATATCCGGATTATAATGTAATATGAAACTCTAACTTCCTCACTAATTTTGAATTTTATGCAAAAAGTGATATGCAGAACAGAAGTAAATTATACAGGGTCCGGCAATAGTGCGTTGGGCATCTGTATCTTCTAGCTTCTAGAATAAAAAACTTGAAAATGTTGTTTAAGTGTAAACCTAAAGTATGTACTAGGATGTATTTCAGGTAAATATTGTAACTTTTATAGGGTGAATCAAAAAAGTGTGAGTGGATTGGGATTTTTTTTTGGAAGTGTTTGTGGATTGGGGATTGGAACACCCAATATATTATTGCATTTTTGGCTTTAAGATATGAGTAAATATATTTCGATTAGTTTCAGAGGTATTAATAAATAAATAAAAAATATATATTTTTCAGCCTTTGTTAAAAAATTACTAAAAATACAAGAACTCTCCTGAAATCAAAATTATATTAGGTATTTACTTTAGATGGTCTGTACTTAACTTTGCTATAAATATGGTTATCGTAAATTATACATATAGGATGATCAAAATTCTACGCCAAACTTAAAAATATAAAATAATTTTTCTTCGTTTTTTTAAACGGTTAAATTTAATTTCTTTTTAAATTTTTAAATTTTTTTAACACCTTGCATATCATTTTTTTCAATAGATGGAGAATTAAAAAATAAACAATTTTTGTATATAAAGTATTTCAAAATTTTTAACGGTTTTGCAGATATTCGCGGTTTTATATTTCACATAGCATTTTCCAAAGTAAATTTTTATCAAACCCACCCAATGATTTTTCGTTCGTATTTTACCGTTGAAAGAGCCATATGAAAGAATACTGCGTGTTAAATACAAAAAATCTTCATTTTTTAACTCTCCATCTAATAAAAAAAATAATATGCAGGGTGTTCCATTTAAAAAAAAACGAAGAAAAATTATTTTGCATTCTACAAAAATTGGCCTAGAATTTTGAGCATTCTGTATGATTTACGATTACAATATTTATAGAAAAGTAAGTATAGACCATCTATACAGTAAATACCTAATATAGTTTTTGTATATGTATCTAAACATTTTTTGGAAAAGGAAGGTTGAAAAATATATATTTTTTTAATTTATTTAATAATATCTCTCAAATTACCGAAATATATTTACTCATATCTTAGTACTATATAAAGTAATCTGAAAGGAAAGAACATGTTTCCCTTTGGAAACACCCTGTAAAAGATCCTCAAAAGTCTCACTGGACAAATTGGATACTTTTCTTTAAAAGTAAATACTTTTCTTTAAAATTTATCCAGTGCGACTTCTGCAGGCTTACCTATTGGATACGACAAAAACTTTAAATGCTGGAGTTGTAGGGTTTCACCTGAACAGCCAGAGAGTCTAATAAAAATAATCAAAAAACGATCAGAAATTTAAGCAACATTTATAACTTCACATTTTATAATGAAACGCACCTTTATATTTTTATTTTTTTAAAGATCCTTTTTTAAGATGGTTAAAACATTCTAATAAAGTTGCGATGAGTTTTTTTACGGCTAGTAAGCTACCTTGTACACTGTACACTTCGCACTAAAAGACGTTTCCAAAAGAACAGTGTTCGACTGCAAGGTCTGCTATTAAACATTGTCAAGCTTAAAGTATCACAACACTATTTATTTAAACCAAAAACTCGTAATACAAAACTAATTTAAACTAAAGTGTCAAAACGAACGGCAATGTCAGGAAACAAATAAATAAATGCGGCAACTTGACGTTTGTTACAGCAGAGCTACCACTTGAATCCCCAGCGCGAAATTTAAATTCCAGTTAGTCAGCACTGCGTCAAATATGTCCATCGTTGGCAACAATAAATTTAAAAATCGCGCCCTCGATTACGTAACTAAAAGCTTAATTGATATGAAATATAGGTATAATACTAAATATCTTTTTAAACCCTGTACATAGGGGCAGAGTAAATTATTTTGTCCAACAGCCACTACTTATACAGACATTACTCACATGCATGTGTCGTAGTCTCATAGTGTATTCCGTCTTTTCATGAATGTCCTAGTCACTTAATGAAAAAAACTAACCTAATAACATAACTAAACTGCTAACCTAACCGACGCTTCATGAAGTGACCTAGGATCTTCATGAAAAGACGGAATACACTATGTGACTACGACATATACATGCATATAAAATAAATAACACACGCGTCAGTTTTTGAAGTTATAACAAACTAGTGTGTTATAACTTCAAAGCCACACCATTTTATAGAAATTATTAAACTTTATTCATAAATTACTAATTCAATTATTTATTTAAATTAATATTAACATTAAATGAAATTAATACTAAAAATAATAATAATTTAATACTTAGTCCATAAGAATGATGGAACAAATTTCTTCTGTAGTTCAAACAAGTAAGCAAGCAAGATAGTTTCGTTTATACCTTTGACATGTTTTACTTTCATCTTGCTTTCATCCACTCTTCAACTTCAAACGCCTTGAATTTCCTATCATATACGCCACGAGACATTTCTGGCACTATTTGTGTTGTAGCCGCCTCTGCCTGGTTAATAATTTCTTGCAGAAGATCTTCCTGAATCATTTTTCTTTAAAATCTGACTTGCTGGTTGATAATTCACTATTTTATCGTTAAAAAATTGCGATTTATCTACGATGACGTCTTAATGTCAGTGGTATTATTTATTACTTACAAAAAACAAAACGCACATCTATATTGCTTAGTAACATAAACGCACCCTGATAATTTATTAATTCGCAACAATGCAGAAGGTTTGCGCTTGCCACAGGGGCGGATCGTGAATTTGTGGGGCCCTGGGCTGAAACTACTTAGGGGCCTACATAAGTACTCAACTAATAGCCATATCAAAAAACTGTTTCTATAATGATATATTATTATTCTTCTTCTTTACGTGCCGTCTCTTTCGTGGAGGTTGGCGATCACATTGGCAAAATCTTCACGATTCAACAGTTCCCACCTATGGGTCTATTGTTTTTCACTTGGGGCCTGAGGGGCCCCTTGTAACCTCCTCGGGGCCCTGGGCTGCAGCCCAAACAGCACATTGGTAGATCTTCACGATTCTCGGCTTGCCAGCGATTGGGAAAAGTACTTGCCTTCCGTCTTTGATGTACATCTTAACGAAGCTAAGTTCGTATTGACCGTACTCTTCGTACACAACAAAATCTTACCCAACTATCGAAATTTGCCAGCCGTAGTATGTTTCATGTCTCAGATATACACACTAAGTATGATAAATAACTTATTATAATATATTGAGCAATTCTAATTCTCTGCCTATTCTGATGTACACTTTTTATAGTTTAAATGAGAGCAAAGATGCCATCGACGTCATTGATTTCTCCTTCAAATTCTTATTTAATTTTTATTTCGTGTAGTTACTCTTTTTGCGGATGAGGTCGTGAGTCGTGTGTCAGTTCCGTGATGCGATTCGAGAAGTTTCTAATAGACATACATATTACAATAAGAACTGACATGCCTAGCGTATCTTCATTCAGATTTCTTCTGGCGAAGTGATTTGCAATTATAATTTAAGAAATACACCTGTGAATTTATAAAAAAAATATTCTTTTTTATTACC